TGTTATCAACGGTCGCTAGATAGAGTTTGTCAGACATATTAACCTAGTATATATCACATCTTATATATTTTGCAAACTATTATACGAGAGCGTATGAACATTATAATTTGTATAGTGATAACTATTATATTGTTGTTTTTTTTTGGGATATTTTTTTATTGGTAAAGTATAATTCAATATTTGGTAAAAAATAAAATCATACTAAAATAATTTCAATAATAATAAAATAACTTAAAAGGACAAAAATACAATTTAGTATATCCTTGTATATGCGGCCAGAGGCGCACACCCTGTGAAATATTTGAAAGAAGATTTGTGGCTGAAAATAGAGGTGAGGTGTCCAATTTCCGACGACATTTTCGACCAATCAAATTGCGAGCTTTTGGTTTTATCTTAACGTTACGCTTTCGGTGCAGCATCTCTTTTCTTTGGTAGTATGATATATACATTTTTCCAAATTAATAATTATAAATTAATCTATAAAATAATAATTATAAATTAATCTATAAAATAATAAAGTAGTATGAACGGCCTCAATTAGGCGTCGGTATAAAGTATGAATGCTTTTTAAATAAAAGTTTAAATTACAACCACCTCTTGAAGTATGATCAAATTGCAAATATTCCCTCCTTTTTTGAAAAATTACAACCAACCCCCTTAGGTATTTTGTTGTCCAACAAATTCCCCCCTATTAAAACGATTCACTGAAATATTCGTACTTCCGAATACATAGTGAGCTAAACTATTACCAACGAATAAATCAATCTTAAGGGTGATTTAGTTAGTGAAGATAGAGAGCGCGTAGTCAACTAACTTGTATCCGGATTTTATTGGAAATATTTTTTGATTGAATTTGTCACACATAACAGATATTAAGTGTGGTTTGTGAAATATTCCACCAGAGTAAGTGTTTAGCCAATAAGTTGTATAGTCATAGCTATCTATACCCTGTTTAGTTTGAAATTTTAGGATACGTTTTTTGATTTAAGTTTGATATTAAGCAAACACTTAGTCGATTGGGCCGTTGACTTAGTTAAAAATTCTATTTTTACAGTTCACCAAATATTAAGTAAATTAAATTATCATCGTTTGAGGTTCTGACAAATTACTCTTCATATTTCAAAACATTACAAATCTTAAAGCTTGATGGCCCAAGCCCAAAAGTCCATATCGACAAGTCCATTGAAGCACACAAACACATGTCAAGTTGGTTCAGGTTAATAATACAAAATCAAGTTGACGAAGGCCCAAGTTGGCTATAATCCTAAATAGACAGGCCCCCAAGGGTAGACAGGCCCAGGTTGGGACACGTTAGAGACTCAGGCCAAGAGAATATGTTTATCCATATACCCGAAAACCTCTATAATTAAATGTACGGAATTCATAATTTCCAAGCAGCCTTTTGAACTTTCTGAATTCTTTCACCATCTTAAAATGACTTGAGCGACGGAGGGTTTTCTCTGGAACCAAGCCCCGACACTCTAACGGTTTTTTGTGATCCAGGGAGTGCTCACGCGAGAAATCAAGATATATGGTTACGTGTGGTATCTTTTTTTCAAGGTTGAAGTTTCACAAATTTGGAATGATAATTTGCAATTGGAGGTCTCGTCAATGTGATCAAGGACTCTTCACAAATTTGAATTGACGCTCCTCCGAGATGGACTATTGACCTTTTTCTGGACCGAGCATGATTGTCTACATCTTCTTTGAGGTTGAGCCTACATTCTCTATACCTACTTTTCAATGTCCAACTTCCTTTGAGGCTCTTTCCTTCAGTGTGGTGGGAGCAATATACTAATCAGGTGATTACTTAGCGATTCGCGCACTAAAAGGATACATGAGAGGTGGCCTCTAATATTTTCCTCACGAGGTGCATTTTGAAGTGATACTTGAATTATTAACATGTTTGTTTGTACTCCTCTATGGGCTTGTCTGATATGTGCTTTTAGACTTGTTCCTATCTCAATTTTAACTAACAAAAAACATGAATTTAAACTCATTAAATAGTATATTTATTTTTAGGGTAAATTACAAACACCCCCCTGAGGTATGGTCAAATAACAAAAACCCCCCTCTTGTTTGGATAATTACATCTACCCCCTCAACTATGATTTTTTCTTACACCTCCACCCTTATGGTGCCAAATTCAACATAATCATCTATATTCCGTGAAATGTGCTCTAGTTTGTATTCGTTTTGTGTAAAAATACAGTTTCCGATGCACCACAAACTGATATATACAAGTTAAAAATCACATATTATGATCATCTTGCTTCATAATGTAGAGTTTGAATGGGATAAAACGGGTACAAAAGTGACAATATTCCATATAATCTCGAAGATTCCACTAAATTTGAGGAGTTGAGGGGGTGGTTGTAATTATCCAAACAAGAGGGGTGTTTTTGTAATTTGACCATACCTCAGGGGTGTTTGTAATTACCCTTATTTTTATTAATATGTTGTATATTATTGAATTGTGATATCAATATTAATTAACATGGAAAAATCCAACTTTGATATAGAAGAATTTGTCTAAATTGGCGCGAAAGGTTTGATAAAATAAAGTCATACTTGATAGACAAGTCTTAGGTTAGTTACATGAATTGTCAAATTATCCGACAAGCCCTTGAACAAGATACCTTTGCCTTAAGTTAATGTATCGATAATAAGAAGAATTAAGTCAAACATTATATACTATAATTTTATATTTGACTACGATATTTGACTACGAAATTACTTCAAAGTCGTAAAAGGCCACTTCTATACGATCAGTATCAAACTGTGGTTGGTGGGGCCCACACGACGAGAACTGGTCATAGATTATCTGTTTCCAGGCAATACAAATTCAATTAATTTATTAATTAATAATTTTAATAGGCATCACCCCTAACATGTGTACTGTCTGAAGGAGAAATAATTAATTAATTAATTAATTAATTAATAATATATAAAAAAAATAAAAAAATACCACTATATAAATCATCTTAATGCCTTGGAATTTTTTCATCACACTTTTCTTCACCACACATTTATTAATTACTGCAAACAATCAAGAACATATATACATATACATACAAAGTGATATATATATCGATCATCATGAATTATTCACTATTCAGTTCGTTCGACGCCGTGTTGCCGGAGTTGCTGGGGTGCTCAGTCAGGGTACCTCCAGTACAGTCGGCCGCCGCCGATGACAAGAAGATAGACAGCCGCCGGAGCGAAAAGACGCCGCCGCAGTTAAAGAACCAAATTAAACCGTCGAAGGTCGCCGGAGCAGTGTCGTCGGGACCTCGGTTTGCGCCGGAGCTTGACGGACTGAACTGCTTTGAGACTTTGATATTCTGAATTTCTTTTGTGTTCACTGAATTTTGTCATTAATTATTCTTTTATTGCTTTTGTGTTCACTGAATTTTTTTTTTTTTTTTTAGTGATGATGTGGTTCTTGTGAACAAGATTTTGGTAATCTATGTGCAGTTAATTATAATATTTGTTTCCTTTTTTTTCCATCTCTGAAATTTGATCCATTTTTTGAATATTAGCTAAAACTATAAAATACTCGTTTGGTCCGGGAGATTAGTCATTATTATCTGAATAATTGAATTTTTTATTTGACATTTGATATTCTCAATAATTTGTCGGGTCAGACTCGTAAATGTTATATTATTATAATTTTTTTTTCGTCAAAAAGATTTTATTATTCCATTAAATATAGGCAAAAGGGGGTCTTGTTAAAACCTATGCTAATAAAAAAATCCGTGTCTAATCTAGCTAGACTATTACAATACAACCCCATAATGGGTTAAAAAGTGAAATAAAAGAAACTATAAGTCCTAATTCTAGAAACCCAATAAAAGTTTGTATTATGGTTGTTAGCCCCCGAGATGTGGGTTAATCTATTAATCTAGCATAGGAGGCCTGACCAAAGCACCCAACGCAACACTTTTGAAAATTATGAAATTGTCCCCAAAAAGGACTTAGCATAGGAGGCCTGACCAAAGCACCCAACGCAACACTTTTGAAAATTACGAAATTGTCCCCAAAAAGGACTTAGCATAGGAGGCCTGACCAAAGCACCCAACGCAACACTTTTGAAAATTACGAAATTGTCCCCAAAAAGGACTTAGCATAGGAGGCCTGACCAAAGCACCCAACGCAACACTTTTGAAATTTACGAAATTGTCCCCAAAAAGGACCAGAATGTAAATAAGTGCATTATTATATTATTATAACTTATTTTGCTTTTTAAGAAGCTTTTTTTTGGATGCTCCACAACAAAATAATTGAATTTTCATGAAATTATTTAATTTTATTTTAACTAATTTTATCTTGTTTGGTCCCTGAAAAAATAATTTTTACTTATGTTCCTCTTCCCCTCTACTCTACTAATACATATTTTGGACATTCATTATTTGCTTCTATCCAATTATTTTAACATATCATCCCTTCCAATTTTATTTTCTTTTTATTTCTTGTTAATAATAAGCAAAAAATGTTTTCATTTGAACCAATATTTTCTTCTAAGGTAAAGAATATATTAAATATTTATAAAATAATGGAAGTATTCTCTATTTTAACATTTACATGTAAATAAATTTTAAAATACATTGGAAACCAAACTTTCATCATCTTCTTCCATTTAGGATAATTTTTAATAGAACTGTGACTCTTATACACAAATTATATACATAATTAATTAAATAGTAAAAAAAGTATTTAAAAAAGTATTAAAAAAAAAAAAAGAAAAAAAAAATTGGGTATAAGATCCCACCAAAGTGGGGTAGCCTTAACCGGATGTGTTGGTAACAGGTAAAGCCCGAAAGCTGTTCCCGTCCCTGTCGGGGGAGATGCCAACCGTCTCTCCTTTCTACGAACACACTCTCTAATACCTAATTCTTCCCTATAAAAACATGCTCACATCACATTACTTAACCGATGTGGGACAATTTCTCTCTCTTAGCAAAATAACCTCTTACAATATATCTCTACATTCAACACACACCAAATCACAGAAATTGATTCCAAAGAGGGAGGCAGTTTTCATCATGTATATATCATAGTCAAGAAACATCAACACATTTTCACGAACCATCGGCGACAAAAACAATAACGAAAAAAGAAAATAGACACAGATTTGGATCTGCGTATAATGTTATTTTCCCGTCAAGGAATTTCACTACCGGAACTTACATATCTATAATAAAAATAAAAGTTGCCTCCGCGCCATCTTCGATCTCTTCCTTGCATCATCCCCTAAATAAGGACAAACATGTATATATCCTTAGTAATCACAGCCTTTTACCCGTTTTGGCAAATCTTCTCGCGACTCCGAATATAACCGCCTTCGTAAGAAGCCCTCGATCGAGGGAGCAAGCGAGGGCAATTGCGCCGCCGACAACTAGAATCTTCTGGAAGCTCCTCCCCGACGGCTGCTTGTCGGGTGAAATTACGTTTTCGCCCTTGGATGGGCCAATTGCGGTGCTGCTCGTCTCTTGGGATTCTTTTTTTTCTTCTTCTTGTAGGGAGACGAGATTGGCTTTGGTGTTTATTTGGGCCATTGAAGCACTGGGCGAGAGCGGAATTTCCGATAATGCCCTTTGGTTTTGGTAGGCGCGCAAACCGGGGTCGATTTTCTTGACGGCGCCCCACATGCCTTGACGGATACCGAGTTTAGCTATTTCCCAAGGAATGCCCATGTCTTCGTGGTGGAAGAGTACAACCTCACACGCAGTCATTCGCCCGTCTCTCTTTGATTCCGCTGAAGTTTATTTTTAAAAAATATTATATAAAAATAAATAAATAAATAAATAAGCAAGTTTATTGTCTATTGTGTATAACGGGAGTCGTGCTTTTATTTGACAACTCTGTGATAAACACTATAGAATGATGAAAAGTTTTGATATATATACCTGCGCGAATGAACCAACTAGAATAGTACAAATCGACTCTTCTTGGTTTGTTGCGACGAGGTACGGAGGAGCATGGAACACCCTACACCATAAACAAATATTAAATAACACTGAAACGATCATCTGAAGATATGCATACACGATTTACAGACATATAAGTAAATCAAGAATCGTATTCTAGCACAAAAAATGCATCTACTTGGTCAGTAAAACCTATTACTCGTGACCGACTACAGTTCAGCACAAATAAAAACATAAATATATTTACTACGGAACGAACCCCTTTAATTCTTGAATGACGACGCATAGAACATATATATGGAATGCACTCTGGTTTATTGCAACAAATTATATGGTCGAGAGTCGGATTTTTAGGGTTTTGACCGAAACTGCAACATCTAAGCAATACCAAACTCGCCTAATGCAGAGTAAGACGAGCATAACTATTATTTACGAAGAATCGAATGTTAGTAAGTCCAGCAATTGCATTAACATCTCCATGTAAAAAAATTATATTCATGCATGCTCAAACATTCCCACAATATTTCTAGGCACGAAGCAAACAAATTTAGCGAACATGCACGAAATTTTCCAAGATTAATATCTGTTTCAGTTCGCTAACCTTTGTAATACAGTAATAAGTTCGTTCGGATTCCCAAATTCGACGTCCGATGATGTATTCTCTGTCACTACAAAAAAAGGGAAACTACAACCGAAAAAAAAAGTAAGGGTCAATATCCCATCACACAAAAGGAAATTTTCTTTTTTTAATTTAGAAAAACAAAAAACGAAAAAAAAAAAGTTCATACCTTTCGTACCCACTGAACAACCATTTGGCCGGTAGCAGGACATTCCTCCAAAGTTTGGGCATGTAAAAGCATATCATCCCATTTCGATCTAAACTCATCGTCCCAAAAGAAGTCCCTCAACATTTCCGGAGTGGCATCTTCGTAAATAGTTCTACTACGATATTGTGGGGGTCCAACCTGTATCAATATCGAACAAATCATTACGATTACGATGAAATTCTCAGCATTGCATACAATTACAAATTTACAATCCCCCCAAAAACCATGTAAAAAAATAAATAAAAATCAAGTCTTTCTAGCAAAGATTCAATTTTTATACAAAACCTAATTACCGGAGGATCTCTTCTCCAAGCTTGGTAGCTCATATTCGACGTTGACCGATCCATCATCTGAATCCAAGCGGGCCCGCCGTCTTTCTCTTCGACTAGCTTATGCAAATGCTTAAGATCATCCTCATTCACAAGATTCGATTTTCCATTCTCCGAATTCGACGAACTGATCACAATTCACAGATACAAATGCAGCTCATTATTACCAAAAAAAAAACAGTCAAACTATATCAACAAGTAAACAAGTTTCGAAAAAATTCAAGAAAGTCGAAATCTTTGCAGACGAAACTAACCTGTAATCGGGGCCCGAATTAGTCGAAGACAAGGATGAATTGTTTGCATCTCCTTTATTATTTTTTGCAGCAGAATCAAGAAAATCCAAATTGAGATTAGCCCAATTAGGTTTCCACGCCCAACCCAACAAAACACCAACAAAAACAGCTACCCAAATGGGCGTAGTGAACACCATCAGCTCAAAAATCACATCTCCGAAATTGGGTCTTTGTAAAATCTCAAGAAAAGCAGAAACCAAAGCCATATGAACCGAAATAAAAATCAAGAAAAAAAAAAATCAAAAAATCAAGAAAACCCTCGATTCAATCGGATAAAAAGAAGCAGAATTTGAAAGCACAATCGAGGGTTTCAAGAAACAAGATTGAATCAGAGTATCAAAACCCCCCTCCCAAAGTAGAAAGAGGGGCGAAAATAAAAGAGAATGGATAAGAAAGGATTATTATAATTATATATGAAGCAAAGAGATTAAAGAATGGTTATTTATATTGAATTTTAAGTGGTGGGTTTTTTGCAGGATATAAAGTAAATAACAAAAATCCAAATACAGGATAAGGATGCGGCTGAGAGAAAGCGGTAGAAAAAATTGGAGTGTGGGCCCGGTTTAATTTCACTCCATAGAATTAACTGCTGCTGCTGTATACATACACGAGCTTAAAAATTCAAAGTAGTGGTGAAGAAGACAACCAAAAAAACCGACTTTGAAGAAACTAGAGACAGTGATCGTTGCATGGAAAAAAAGATTCAATCTTGCAGAGTGAATCGATCTAAATAATAATTTTTGGTCTGTGGTCGGCGTTTTTCATTTTTCACGTTTGGCACGCTTTGGATTTTGACTTTTTTGGTTTGACTGTGTGCGTGTTGAGTGTAGCATTCACACATGGAGGAAATGGGGAATATTATATTTAGGGGTGATTAATTACAATTTGTGTCAATTACGAATAATGTATATTGTCTTTAAATGTTTTGATTGAAGTCCATTGTTTCATTGTTTTGAACAATAGCCCCCACAAATTTCTTGGTCAAAAGTAAACGAAAAATAGTGGCAATTTAACTATATTGAGGTTTATTGTTATTTTTTTTTTGGGAGTCCTAATTGTACTTGTTCATAGCTGAGTCAAATGATCTTACTTACTTATTTGATCTTACGATATGAAACCCGTAGAATTTGTTACCAGACCAAAATATCTTATCCGGAAGAAAGAACGTATAATTTGTTACAAGACCAAAGTATCTTATCCAGAGGAAAGAACATAACGCCCAAATATCAAGAGTGAATTGAAATTATTAGGAGACCTAAATATCTTATTTTATCAGAAGGAAAGAACAGAACTTCCAAAAATTACGAGTGAATTGGAATATTATCAAGATGGAAGTATCCGGCAATTTATTTTTAGAATTTGTCAGATCTTTTTATTTTTTTTTAAATACCAAATATTTTGAAAGAACTTACAAACTCTTATAACGTCTTATAAGTTATTTTTAACAGTTTATAAGCTTAGCCAAACATTCCTATAGTTGTAAAACGGTGTTGTACTTGAGCATGATCCGGTAATAAGCAATATATAGGCATCCATCCTAGAAACATGTAATGCTTGAGGAAAAAAATAATTCATTTAAATAATTTGAATCAGTACAATTAGTTTATATCAAAACTTACTTCTATTTTACTCTCATTATTGTACAAAGGGTTAAATTTTATTTATCTCTTATGTACTGATACTGATAAATATTCTCATGTCTTATGAAATACTCAATAACCGGTGATGTATTATAAGAAAATGGCAATTTAGTTAACAACTGAACTCTCTCGCCACATAGTAGTTCAGTCAATCTATGCCTCGTTTGGTTGGAGAGATTAGTTATAATTAACTAAATAAGTGGACTTTGTTTGATATTCAGTAAACCTAATAACTTCTCGAATCAACCCAAAAATATTATGTTATCATACCTTATCGTACATTTAAGGAGTTTTTTGACGAACCTTCTGGGGTCACAATTGGATTTTAGTTAGATTATTTACTCTTATATTGACTAATTCTATCTGGACAGCCAAACGAGCCTTAATAAATAACGAAGCTCAGTCGGAAACACACATATATCATGTCCTACATACACACTCTCGTTTGCTGAACTCTCTAAGATATCTAAACCCAAAATTTTCCAGACCTTAGCAGCAATTTGTTACACAATAGTCTTTCTACAAATAACATCAAAACACTTTACTACATCAATAAATGCAAAGAGCACACTGTATATAATAAAGTTATAAATTCGTAATCCAAGATACTACACGTTACATACGATATAAAATTGTAAAAAGCCAACATATGATCCTACAGCTTATCGATAACTCTACATCCAGTACCAGCCCCCAAATTGAATAAGCTCGTGTTTTTTTTTTTTTTGCAGAATAATTAGGAACAATTTTATACCTCGAGTATGTAATAATACGCAACAAATTGGAAGTCGATAAGCAGGTTAGTGCTCCATGAAAACCAGACATAACAACACCATCTCTACAAAAACAAATTACAAACGCATTTCTCTAAGAAAGGAAAAAAAAAAGAACGTTTCCCAGTTCAGTAAAGTACGTACATTCTTAGTCTTAGTCGCCAAATAGCACCACCAGAAAGCAAGATCAAGAACCCATGATCAGATAGCTGATTTCGAACACCTGTAATGCATAATCAAGAACATGCACTATATTTCCAATTAGAGGAAAAAAAGAAGAAAAAAAAAAAAACCCCACGTTTTATTTAGATGGCCCTGTGTTGTTATTAACACTGTTTCCTAAACCCATTTTCTGCCCAAGCAGTGCAAGCTGCTCCACGAACTCGTCTCCCGATAGAATTTCTGTGGTCCCATAAATGACGTGTTTGGCAGGTTGCTGTCGGTGAACGAGTTCTTGCAAGCTCCCGTACTCAACGTAATTCCCACCACCAACCATGAACACGATCGCTTCTTTAAACGGCCCTTTCATGTGGCTTTGACCGGCGGTTGACTTTGGCGCACGCGGATCGAATATGAGATAAGAGTCGATTTCCGGATTCGGTTTCCCCTCCATTAGTGCGTCAACTGTTCTAGTCAAAGCCAATTGGTGGTCGTTAGACAGCAAGTTCTTCATGCCAGCAGTTACAGCACCAATCGACTGTCCGTACAGCTTTTCAGCCCAATCGACAATATTGCTCCTGCTTGCAGAACTGGCAGATGCTAAAGAAACATTCAACGCTTTAATCTTCTTCACGTACTGAAACGCACTTGTGTCGACCTCGGATTCCCTTAGTGCAGTTTCCACCACCTCGATTTCAGAAGGAGGAATTGTTTCTGTCGAAATTAGATACATTATTGCGAAACGTAATTTGTCGATCTTAGTCCCTTTGCCTTTGAGCACACCGACGAGTTCAGCACGGTCAATCCCACCTCTGACCATCATGTCACTCTCCTTTTTGGCGAAAGAGTCGAGCGACCTCTCTTTAATCTCACCCAACAAAGCGGTGGCAATATTAGTGTGCTTATCAATCACTTGCTTACGCTCGGTCAATTCAGGGAGAGAGTTCACAGCATTCATTAGATGCTTTGTGTTGCCAATCAAATCCGTGCCACTGAACTCCGCCTCGTCGCCACCTGTCCGCCTGTTCACCTCCTCCACGTCTTTCTTGTACTTGTTCAACTGTGTCTCGATCTCCACAGCAACTTCTGGAAACTCCAGCGACCCGTTCGCGGTCCAAAACGGGTCTGAGCGGTCCAGTTCAAACGACTTCATCCCTCCCTTCTCTCCTTTCACGTTTAGTCTATTCAATCTCAAACCGAGCACATCGTGAACGAGTGGCTTATACCTGAAGTCGTGCTGTATTGCCACAGACAGCTCGAAATTCCTATCGAACAAACACAAAATTGGCCTCTGAAAAGAGCTGGTAAAGTTGCCGCCCTCGGTGAACAAATTATTCTTTGCCAATAAATGGTCGCGCAATCTCTGATCAAGCAAAGAAGCCACCATCTCAGCGGGCCCACCACGAGGGCACCTAATAATGGGCACAACTGCAAGGGTTGCCAAAACACAGAACAACCCCCCAACAATCTTTTCGATAATTTCCTCGATCTCTTTGTCTCCCGCAGAGGGATCGTTTAACTGAACATAACAATTCTTATTGGCAAGTGAGAATAAGTTATCTTCTAGGGTCACAAATTCCAGATACTGATCGTGCACCTTCGATATCCTCTGAATTGAATCAGAGCTAATTGTTCCTTAACCACAAAAAAAAGAGACAAATCTCAATATATATTACTAAGGTTCCAATTCTAGGAATTTCATTTCTATTTCCTAATAAGATCCCTTAATTAGGTTTAGCAATTGAAATTCAGTGCTAAAATTATTATCTTTAAAAATCTAACTTAAAATTAAAAAAAAATTAAAAAAAAAAATAGCCTCTGACTTCATATATCCCTTGTTCAACCTAACAAATCAAGATCCAACTAAAAGGAAATCACAATTCACACTTCTACTGCAATAGATCGAATCGAAAAACGGATAGAGAATTGTTTATGAATGTTACCGGTGGCAAGGTCTTCTAGGAGAGGCCTGGGTATGGAGGAGGAGAAATTGAGGTGGAAGGAGTCGTAGAGCGCTCTGGAGGCGTCTGAGATCACGCGCTGCACATTGGACGACGTCGGCCGGAGGAAGTAAACGGCGGGGACGTCGTGTACGGGATTCCGATCCTTATCTAGGAGGAAGTAGAGTGTGATGCCATGCTTACGCAGGTCCTTGACGTGGATCAACGGCGAGAGTATGTCCTGGCAGAATCTGTCGTAGATCAGGATCTTGTACACCTCCTCGTTCGCCGTTCCGGTGGCGCTGCCCACCGCTTGGTTCAGATTCAGCATCCGGATTATGCACTCTGCAACAAATTTCAGAAACTCAAAAAAAACAAAATTCATGCCATTGAGTAAAAGGAAAGCACAATTAGACGAAGGATTACCGGTATGCTTCTGACGGAGATTTAGCGCCGCCATTTCTGGAAGATTAAGATTACTGTATTTTCGCAGGCAGCTGTGAATCAATCGGGGATTAATTTTGGTGGTGTTGGGGAAGAAAGAGAGATCTGGATGATTTTGTGCTTTGTGTGAGAATGAGTTGTACTTCCTGCAGCTTGACTTGTACGAAGGTTTTCATAGGCCCGTCGACGTCATCATGGCCCAAATGGAGAGAGGGCCGAATCCACCGTGTCAATCATCTTCTTGATTTTCTTTTTGATTGATTTATTTATTTTTTTTTATTTTTTTTAATATTGTTAATTCAAGATTGTCGATTTTATGCTACATGTCCATAGTGATGAGGGGGAATACGATGCTACACCCGGTGATTTTCATCGGTAACTCTTTTATTGACATGTGTCCTTTTTAATTTATTTTATAATTATTTTTCTAAAAATCAATGGGTCATAACTGAAAATCACCGGGTGTAGCATCGATATTGCCTAGTGATAAGGGTGGGTCTTTTTATAATATATTAGAGCCTTCATAAATTAATAATCTCATTTAAATAATATGTTTTCTCGATTCTTACTCGAAGATAACGTGCTAAAAGATATTTTGTTAAATTAATATTTTGCTAAATTAATAGAATTTGGTTAATCATGACTATATTAATTTATAGAAGTTTAACTGTATATTGCCCTATCGAGTCATACTAGTTTTCTATTTTAATATTTCTATCGAATGGGTAGCGTACCAAAATATTTTGATAGTGCACTGATACTAAATATTATTATAAGGCCCGGTTGGTTAGCAAAATAAGATTGACCAAGATAAAATTAAATAATCTAATGAAACCCAATTATTTTATTGGAGATCGCGACGTCGAATAAAAAAATTCACTAGAAGATAAGATAAGCCATGATTATATAATTTTATGGCGGATCGATCCGATAATTTATTAGGAATACCAAACATTAAATTAAGTCGAACTATTTAATTAATCATAGTTTATCTTGGCAACCAAACGGGACCTAAGCTTACTATCCTATTGTAGGGAAATATTAATAAATATAAGTGAAAAATTGTAGTTTAATAAGGATAAATTCCACTTTTTTCCTTGTACTTTGGCTCGATATCACTTTACCCCCTTCTACTTTCGATTGCATTTATTTGCCCCCATGCACTTGAAAACTTATCTCAATGTGGCTCTCGCTGTTAATTGTCAAACATTTGACCTAAACACTGTTTGGTGAAAACTCTGAAATTACAAAACCGACGACTCAATTAACTTACATCGCGACAACTTGGTCGCGCTATGCACCAATGCGCATTCACGCCCCTCCGACACACGCTCCAACGCGTTATCGCACATCATCGACTACTACAATTTTTACTCTCGACACGATATGTCACCCATTTCAACATGGCCCCCACATCGACTCGAGAGTGGGGGGCTTAATGATATGCCTAATTAGCCCAACCCAATGGGCCTACAAATTATTTACCTATTGGGCCACGAGCCCAATATCGAAGACCACTATCACCGAGGCCCAATCACCTTCAAGCAAGGTTTGAGCCCAACAATCTCATTTAAGCTATAAATACACATTTGAACTCATTCCATAAGGTACGTCCTATTAACTGAGCAATACTACAATACGTATTCTCTGGACTTTTTCTATGATCAGCACGTCTGACTTGAGCGTCGGAGGGGTTTCCGCCGGATCAACCCCCGGCGTAGTTCACGTGTGTTCATTTCGCAGGTACCTCAGGATCATCAAGTTGTCAAGCTACTGATCTGCTTTGCTCTCCCAGTTCATTTTCTACACTACCCCAGGTGATCTACATTTTAGCATCATCATTTTGGCGCCGTCTGTGGGAACGATGCAAACCAGATCACGTAGCCAACAAGATCCTCCTGAGGCGTCTGCTCGGAGAGAAAATGACACAGCTAACGACCTCCCACCTCGTTGAGGCTCTGGCTTGCCACCTCCTCCACATCCCACGGATCCGCCTCGCGAGGTTCAGGTGATCCCCCTCGGGACCCACCACTCGCCGATCCACCACTCCCTGCTTCTCGAATGGTTCAAATAACCGAGGATGCGCTTCAACGCATGATAGCAGAAGCTTCAACTCGCGCTGCCACAGAGGCCGTGACCCAATATATCGCCACGATGGGAGCAGATGATCCCAACGCGATACCAGCACATGCTCCACATATGGAGCCACCTATGGCACCACCGCCATCGACTCCCTGGGGGCTTACATAGCCACCTATGGCACCACCGCCATCGAGTCCTAGGGGCTTACATCTGCCCCCAAAATATTTCGCTCGCCAAGGGTTATCGACTCCCTGGGGGCTTACATCGCCCCCAAAATATTTCGTTCGCCAAGGGTTATCGACTCCCTGGGGGCTTACATCTGCCCCCAAAATATTTCGTTCGCCAAGGGTTATCGACTCCCTGGGGGCTTACATCGCCCCCAAAATATTTCGGTCGCCAAGGGTTATCGACTCCCTAGGGGCTAACATCTGCTCCCAAAATATTTCATTCGCCAAGGGTTATCGCCCCCAAAACATTTCATTCGTCATAGCAGGAGCCAACGCTCCTCCTCGTGAGGCCCCCAAAACAATTACCGATGAATACATCTCAAATATGTTAAAAAATTACTTCAAATTTGCTGAGATCTTGTGGTCGATCGAAATAAAAGATAAATATCCTAAAGGTTCTCAAGGAAAAAGAATGATCGATTGAGGAAACAACTGCACCAAGAGAGGATGGCGGCTTCACAGGGAGAGGCGGAGCTGCTGAGCGACGGCGACTTGACAAGGAGAAGCTAAGCGGCGACCACTTGACAAGGAGAAGCTGAGCGGCGGTGTTAGAAATAACGAGAAGAAGAGAAGCAGCGTTGCAGGAAATGAAAAATTAGGTTAAGATTAGAAGATTTGGGTTACTTATAGTAATGGGCCAAAATCAAATGGGTCAAAATATTAATATATTGAAATAAAATTATGGCCCAGTCCTTATAGTGGCCTTAGAATATGTAATATATATAAACTAATTTTTAAATACATAAAAAAATTGGAAAATTTCGGAAATAATCGGAAAATTTAGGAATTATTTTTGAATCGGAATTCGGAAATTCCAAAAATTTTATATTAATTTTCGATTCCGATCCGATTTTTTTCGGAATTTTCGGAAATTGAAATTTCGGAAATCGGATTACAAAAAATTATTCCAAAATCGGAAATATTCGGATCGGAATCGGCGGAAATCGAAAATTTCGTTCCGATTTCCACCCCTACCCCTGGTTGAGCTAATGGTTGCGAGTTCGGCCTTTCTACTCAGTGTGTCGGCCACAACGTTTGCCTTCCCCGGTTTGTACTCCAAGACGTAGTCGAACTCTGCTAGAAAGTCTTGCCACCGTGCTTGCTTTGGCGAGAGTTTCTTTTGCGTTTGGAAGTAGCTTGTGGCAACGTTGTCGATCTTGACCACGAACGGTGCTCCTAATAAGTAATGCCGCTACACTCGAAGGCAATGGATGATGGCGGTCATCTCTTTCTCTTGAACCGTATAACGCCGTTCCGTCTCGTTAAGCTTTCGGCTCTCGAAGGCGATCGGATGCCCCTCTTGCATCAAGACCCCTCCAATTGCAAAGTCGGAAGCGTCCGTGTAAAGTTCGAACGACTTCCCAAAATCCGGTAAGGCGAGGACCGGCTCTTGGCTCACCGCTGCCTTCAAGTCCTCGAACGCCTGTTGGCATGAGTCGGACCACTCCCGCGTCTTGTTCTTCTTGAGCAAGTCGGTTAGTGGTGCCGCTCGTGCCGAGTACCCTTTTATGAACCGCCTGTAGTAATTGATTAAACCAAGGAAAGAACGTAACTCGGTTACCTTCGTCGGCGGTTCCCACTCGGTGATAGCCTTGATTTTTGCTCCAGCCATTTGGTGTCGCCCGTGTCCGGTGATATGCCCCAAGAATTGGACCTTCTCCTTGGCAAACTCGCACTTCTCCTTCTTCACGAAGAGCTTGTTCTCCCGAAGTACTTGGAAGACGGTGCGAAGGTGGTTGGCATGTTCCTCCATGGTATCGCTATAAATGACGATATCGTCCAAGTAGACCACTACGAACCAATCCAAGTATGGATGGAAGATCTTGTTCATGAGAGTGCGAAATATTGCTGGTGCGTTGGTTAACCTGAACGGCATGACAAGCCACTCGTAAGAACCGTATCGAGTGATACACGTTGTCTTTGGCTTGTCTCATTCGGCAATGCGGACTTGGTAATAGCCCTTTTGTAAGTCCATATTTGTGTATATTTTGGCCTTACCAAGCCTATCGAATAGATCGGCTATCAAGAGAATGGGGTACTTATTCTTAACGGTTACCTTGTTTAGCGCCCATAAACCGAAAAAACCGAGCCGATATGCACCATCCCGACTTAAAACTGCATATACGGTAATTTTGTTTTGAAAAACCAAAAATATCGGTTTATGTATGGAGAATAAAAAAATTATCGAACCGATTTTTCGAACCGAACCGATTTATACAAAATGATGTCGTTTTGATATATAGTATAAATACTTACCCTAGCGTGCCTCTATCTTTCGAGCGCCTCCATGTGACATATTTTTCTCTTAGGGTGCATTTGGATGGAGAGATTTGGGGAGGGATTTGGTTTCGGGAATGGCTTTGAAATGACTCCAATTTTGGAGTCATTTGAAATCCACCACTATTGCTCCAAAAACAACTAAAAATGAGGGGTGGGGATTTGAAATCCATCTCCAAATCCCTCAATCCAAACAAGTCCAATGGATTTGTTATTATGGATTTGAAATCCCTCCCCCAAATTCCTCCATCCAAACGCACCCTTAATTAATTTTTGGTTGTGACTTGTGACATGTTTTTTATTAGTTAATTTTCGTTGTTATTTCTTAATTTTCTCAACTAAATATAATTAGAGTCCAATTATATCGGTTTTATGCCGAACCGATTCAAACAAATAGACGAACTCGAAACCGAAAATGAACTGAATTGAATTGTTAACGAAACCATTAACCGAAAACCGAAAAATCAATTAATACCAAACCGAAAAAAACGACACATTCGATTTTTAAAATATAAAAAACCGATATTATCGGTACATGTTTGGTTTATTGGAAAAAACGAGCCGCACCGACCCGTGCACACCCCTACGTCAAAGTAATTTTTTTGTAGATGACCCCATAAACCAAAAGAAGGTTATGTGCTGATATACGAGCACAACAACATCATTTGCAAAAGCTTGTAACCGCAGAGCGATTAAGTGCTATTTACCCTAAATTTAATGGTACGAATTCATTCATGGAGAAAAATATAAAAATATAAAATAAATAATTGATAATTTTAATGGGCTTTCAGCCCATTTCACTATTAGTCCACAAGTGAAGTCTCATATTTTGGGCCTTTTTTCAAATCCCTGCCTAAAAAAACGCAATACGACGTCGTTTCGTTGTTGTCTGGATTACGTTTTAGTGTTATCCTCTTTGATAAGCCTTTTTGAGCTCACTCCTGCAGAGATTCCACTGCTCCAAAGAAAGAGAAAACAAACAATGGCTTCTTCATCCCTGTGCGCCTCTCCAATTTCAATTTCTTCTCGAAATTACAGTAATTTAAGGAAGAACAAAAATGGCGCGAACGAGGCAAAGCTCCCGTCCTCCTCTCTATTCTGCAGCTCTTCATCCCTAAGTTTGTCCTCGAAGCAAACAACCACCCTACAATTCTTCAACAACAACCGCGCGCCGCCGATTTCCTCCACGCCGCGCACACTCACCGTCATTTCCATGGCTCCCCCAAAACCCGGTGGAAAACCTAAAAAAGGTACATCCTTTATCTTTTATTAATTGTTAATTAATTTTTAATTATTCATTGTTATGCATTCTGTTTTGATGTGTGTGGATTTTTTTATTTATTTTTAATCTGTTTTCGAAAAATTGGGGGCAGTTGTTGGGGTGGTGAAGTTGGCTCTGGAGGCCGGGAAGGCAACACCGGCGCCGCCGGTGGGGCCGGCCTTGGGTGCTAAGGGTGTGAATATAGCTGCATTTTGTAAGGACTACAATGCTCGGACTGCCGATAAGCCCGGTTACGTCATTCCCGTCGAAATTACTGTTTACGATGTGAGTTTTATTTTTTTTATTGCTCGTAATTTTCGAATTCTTATGCTGGATTTTGATTTAGATGAAGTTAGGGTTTATTTGTTTATTTTTCTGTTGGGATTTATTTTCAGGATAGAAGCTTTACCTTTATATTGAAGACTCCACCTGCTTCGGTTTTGTTGCTCAAAGCCGCCGGTACTTTTCTCTCGTGCCCTTATATTTTGTACCTTCTCTTTTGTTATCGATGCAATGTGTACAAATGATACGAACAAAATGGAGTACGTAAAATTGATTTCGTAATACTTACACAAAATATGCTACTTTTGGTATGTCGGAGAAAACATAAGTAAAGTTATGACGGTAAGTGCAATCTTCGTTGGAATTGATAATGAGAACATAAGAATCAATTCAAAGGTGAAACTTAAATGTGTAATGTGTATATAAGAGAAAACACTAGTGATGAATGAACTGAAATAAATGTAAGTACACTTTTCGTCCTAAGTTTACCTTGATTTTATTATTGGTCCTCCTTGTTCACAAAAAAAAAAGAAAAATAGATTTAGTCCATCATGTTTCAAAAATTCAAAATTTTTAGTCATTTCTGTCAATTTTCCGCTACTAGTAACGGAATCAGTCGTGTGCCCATCATTGCCTTAACCGAAGGACTAACGGTAAATTGACGGAAATGGTCATAAGTGTTAAATTATTGAAGCATGAGGGACTGAATGTGTTTTTTTGTGAACAAGGGGGGCCAAATGTGAAATCGTTACAAAATTGAGGGATGAAAACTGTAAATTTCCCATTAGCAAATTTATCCAATTGCTGTGTTCATATATATAACTAGACAAGTATTAGATGAGTATTCCCTTTCAAAACAGTATCACAACATATTTTACTCCTCTTCATCCGTTCCAAGTTTCAGCAAAGGGTGCTTTAGTAAATTTGACACAGAGCTTTTCGGATGTTACCGTTACCACTGTATTACTAAGTTTACGAAAATATTACTAAGTACATGGTTTTAGATTGTCCTTTTTGACGAGGTCAAGGCATCAATATCTGTTATTTCTTTCTTCATATTGTCTCATTATGTGCCGATAATGTTATATCTAGTTAAAATTCATGAACTACACGTCGTTATACTTCTGTTATGGTCAAGGATTCCTACAAAATGTCCGTATGATTTTTAATATTACAAGATTTTCGTTTGACATTAGAATTGTTCCTATTTCCTACTATTCTGCTCTACTATTTGCATTAACTCGAGTCTAGAGTGAAGAAGGTATTGTCTATTTCAACAAAGTTTGAGCTTTTCAAGAAGTACTCCACTTGTTTCTTCGAACATGTTTATAGAATATAGGGCAAATTACGGCCACCTGAGGTTAGCTCAAATTACAAAGAATCGCCTCATGTTTGAATAATTACAACCACCCCCTCAACTATGTATAGTCTTACGAAAAAGGTAACTTTGACATCGTAAGGGTGGCCGTGTAGTACAATACATAGTTGAGGGGTGGTTGGTTTTTTCGTAATTTGAGCATACATTAGAGGGTGGCCGTAATTTGCCTTAGAATATATAATAAATCATAATTCATATTATCCCTTTTCCCCTACATTTAGAAACTCAAGATATTGACACTTTAAATTCAAGTTTATAATCAAATGCTTAAAAATGGCTAATTACTTTTCATCTATTACTTATTTAGGAGTGGAGAAAGGTTCTAAAGACCCTCAGTTGACCAAAGTTGGGAAGATCACGGTTGACCAGCTGCGAGTAATTGCACAGGAAAAATTGCCGGATCTGAATTGTTCGAGTTTGGAGTCTGCAATGAGAATTATAGCAGGCACTGCAGCAAATATGGGAATCGACATTGACCCTCCAATACTCGAACGAAAAGTTAAAGTACTTATCTAGGTCTCTAAATTTTTCCGCTCCTTTTTTTTGTCTATTTAATTTATTGCATTTTGCCTTAAAAAAATTGAATGCAAGTAGTATCTGGAGTTGCTCCATTTCATGAAGAAGTTTATCCTGGCTCGGAATTTTTATTGCTGTAGAAAACCAAACATAAATCATTGAAGATTATTGGAGTGTAATCTATAAATTTAATCAAGTGCAGTTGGCAAGCCCATAAAAGTTTGAAAATCTACAAATAGACCCCCAAATGTCTTGGCAATTGCAAACAAGCCCACAAGGACTTGATGAAAAGGTGTTTTTTAGATGCTACAGTGAAATACTTCGGGTGATCTTGAACCATAAACCTGTACATAACAACACGTATTCATGTGTATGTGTTTTTAGTGGCTCTTTCGACCCTGCACCTAGTGATAAATACCGGGTGGATCTTTTGCTGCAACGTGTCATTTTTTTAATTTTTCTAAAACCCGTAAAGGTAATTAACCCAATCCGGGAATATATTATAAAATACAAAAAATGATACGTGGCAGCAGAAGACCCACTCGATATTTATCACATAGTGTAGGGTCGAAGAAATCGTTCTTTGTAGGTGGTTATTTATATAGATTCACGTTTCAAAACCTGATAAACCTGATAGTGTATTACAATAGCATAGGTTTCACGGTCTACAAATCGGTTTTTAATAATTTTATGCTATCAATTGTTAATGTTTAATGTTACTTTTTTTAATGGATTGGATCCATTTTAAAAGTATTTACACATTTTAAAAATGATTTTTGAATTGAAATTAATCCTATCAATTTTTTGTTTCTTTCATTTCTACAATTTCTATTCACAATCCTTATTAAAACCCATAATTTGAAACAAATAAAATGGGTTAATAGCACTTAACACCCCGTGGTTGCAAGCTTTTGCATATGATTCATTTGTGCTCGTAATTTCAGTACATAACCCCCTTGTGGTTTTGGGGTAGGTTCGATTAGTGTTTCCATCAAACGTAACCGTCTCTGTCAAACTTTAAGGGGGTCATCCGCAAAAAATGAAAAGGAAAATGTAAGGACAAGGGTGTCATGTCGTCTGCAAAAAAAAAAAAAAAAACTTTAAAGTTTGACATAAGCGGTTAAGTTTAACGGAAAACTAACAAAAGCCGTCCCTAAACCACAAGGTACTGATATTACGAGCACAAGAAGATCATCTGCAAAAGCTTGTAACCGAAGGGGGGTTAATTGCGTTTTCATCTCTTAATTTTCTAGGTCCCAAATCGAGAAACCCCGGTTCTACCCCGACTGTTACGTTGATAGTAACATTTTTCCATATATATCGAGCAAGAACCAACTGAAAAAAAGAAAGAAAGATTTGCATCAATCTTGTGGGGATTAGAATATCAACGTACATTTCGTCCGTCAATGTTTTGCCACCCCAGTTCGAATATTCTTTCTCTTTCGCGTGTTAGTTTATGAATGTGAATGTTGGTCTAATTTTATTTTAATTTTCGGACAAATGACGTTTGTTTGTTGGTCTGTTTGATTTGTCGTTATCAATTATTGTACCTTGTGATATGTGAAATCTATGCAGTGAAATAAATTATCACTCAACGGTTTTATATGTCATGTGTGGATAGAGATGTATGTTATTGTTATAGCATTTACATATATATATATATATATATATATAGTCATATATTTGTAAATGCTCATTCCTTAGTTACATATACATATTGATTTAAGGGGCAACTTGTTAAATATTCTTGGGTAATAATTTTTTTTTTTTTTTTTTTTCTGATTATGATATGCATGTTTTTGCAATTTGTTAAAAAATCTCTATTCTTCAGTCTTGTCGAACTAGTTATACTCAGTTAGATCCAACCAACTCAACGGCACTCCGCTAAATATGTCTATATATCATTTCTTTCAGATGTTGCTATCGTCGAAACTTTGCCACACAGACACACATACGCAACAACACACATCCACACACATACGATTTTGGTTGCACTATTTTCTATATGTTGTAACCTAATAATCATGGGGACCAATTAAAAAAAAAATATGATGATTGTTTGGATGCAGATGATAATATTGGTGGTGATGCAGGCACCCGAGATTTAAGATTTTTTCTTCAAATTATTAACTTAGATATATAACTAACATATGCAAATAAGCTTTTTAAACTGTCTAATTAACTCAAATTTCATAGTAAAAATACATGAAATACATGTTTTTTTGCTAAACTTTTACTCGTTAATGTAACTGGCTTCTGTAAATATTTTTTTTTAAGTTGTCTGTGTAAGTTGCGTATGTATTGTAGGATGCATCTATTATTGTTTTAGTTTTTTTTCCAGTGTATTTTAACTAAAATGTTATTTATAATATAACTAAGCTGTGCAAATCACGGTCATCGTTGTTGTTGGTTTTCATAAGCAATTCCATTAGAAAGACTCCGCATCTAACGTTAGATCCAGAGCGAAATCGAACACAAAAACTTTTAGCAAAAAGACAAAATCCTCTTATCCTTAAAGCTATAAATAACATTTTTTTAGGGTTTTCAGCTAATTTCTCTAAATTAATGTGGATGTTCTCACCACTATCTTTAATAATTCTATAGATACTTACTATTTTAATAAGTGAAAAATGTAGAAAAATATTTCACGATTATTTGCATATTGATGATTTGTTTGTTGTTCAACAATTGATAACATAAAATTTTAAAACCC